TAACAATCTCTCACAAGCCTCCACCCTGAGAAGCCTCAAGAGGGCTCCCTTTGCCCAGTTTTTCCCAATTAACGGTGCTCTTTCCTGGTCTCCTTGCTAAGAGGACTCTGAATTGGAATGCAGTCTCAGAGTTGGCAGGGTCCCAAGGACATAACACGTTAAAGATGCAAGGGTTCGAGATTATAGAATGTCAGAATGAGAAACTACCTTAGAGATCCAGGACTAGAACCCAGGTTCCTTGACTCCTGGTCTGATGCTCTTAACACTTACTATATACTTCCTTGGGTCCTGTCCCTCCCCCTAGCCTACCCCAGAAAATTGGTTACAGAGTCAGTTTCCTAAGGAAGGGCAGGAGGGTCAGGGGAAAGGACTTGGAAGCTTCACATTTTATAGCTCCTTGGCCTTTGTCCGGGTCAGTTCTGGGCTCAGTGTCTCTTTGGTGGCCCAGAGAATTTTCTTGTTTGGGAATCTAGTCTCCCTCTACTCCTGGTTTCTAGACCTGGGCCAATGGTTCTTGGCTCTTCTGGCTTTAAGTCGAGGGCACTGTCCAGCAGCACATCTCTTCAGACCCCAGGCTCAGAGACCACCGAAAACCCCTTCCCTTCCCTCCAGGGTGACTTGGCAGAGGCTGCCCCATTGCATCTCCTTCTGAAAGCACCCCTTCCCAATCCCTGGGAACTAAGGGAATGGGAATGTAGATGGGCTGGTGGGTGGGCTGGTGGGTGCCCTTCTCTAGGCAGTGGAATGTATGTGTTTGCATAGATGTAGGGGAGGGGGAGGTCATTTCCACCTTTCCCCCCCCTTTATGTTTTTCTGTCTCCAGGCAAAATGAGGTCCTGTGGCGTGAGGTAGTGAGCCTCCGACAGCAACATCATCAACAACACAGAGTTATCAACAAGGTAGGGCTCTTTCTTCCCAGACCCTTCTTTCTCCCATCAACTCACCCTATGTGGGACTCCACCCAACCCCCTCACATGGCCCTCCTTCTGGCTGAGAAGTGAACTATGGGGGTCACAGCCAACTGGGATGGCGTCATAACTTCTCATACCCCTTCTCCCTTCCGTCATCCACCTTCACTCCTGACCAAGCCCAGGGATGAGCCCTTGGCAGCAGAGAACCCCTGTTTCTTGAGTCAGAGAAATGGAAGATGGGACACCTTCACTGCTGGGGTGGGATGTAGTAGTCTTCACCTCTGGGGCAATCTTAGGGTCCAATTTCTGGGACCTCGGGAATTCACTGCTTCCTAAGCTGGGAGAGAGGAACAGAAAGGAAAGGCTTCTGTTAGCCTTGGGGCAGCTACACCTGGCTCCTAGAAGGAAGGGGGACAGTCCAAACTAGTTTTAGTGTTTGCTGTTCTAGACAGGAGCAGCATCTCTAGGGTTCTGGAGGCAGGCTCTCCATGAAAAGGTTGGGTCCTTCCCTCCCTCCTCTGATAGTGAAAGATGTCTCTCTTCCTCCCCCCATTAACCTTTTTATCCTGCACAGTTGATCCAGTGCCTCTTTGGTCCACTCCAGGCTGGGCCCAGCAGTGGGACCACCAAGAGAAAACTGTGAGTGGGGTGTTTGAGAGATAGGGACAGGCCTATATCCCTCTGCCTATAGCCAACCTCCCTCAGCTCATTCCCTGAGTTCTAGCTCCCTTCCCCTTCCCCCCCAGCTGTAGTGGACCCTCCCAAACACCCCTGTCCTAGGAGTTCAGGCCACAGAGCAGAGCATCTAGAGTCTCCCCAACCCATGGTCCTCTGGGCTAGTCCCCTTCTCCCTGCCATGTGATCAGGGTGCCATGGTGACAGAACCAGGGCTCAGGGTGGTCAGAGGGCTGATTCAGCACTGCTGCTATTATTGGCAGGGGGTAATGGGAAGGGTGGAGTGGTTAGGCTGGGTCCCGGGGGGGGGGCATCAGAGCCACTCTGTGGGTTCCCAGAGTACCATGGAAATCTGGCACTGTCTGCAGACTCCTCAGTTCAGTGGTACCCTGGTACAATTGAACCCCAAGCTTCCTGATACCCTCCCCTGTGAGGAGAGCTGGAAGAGAGCAAGGATGGGGTCTGAGAGGGAGAGGTGAATTGTGATCCTGAGCCCTCCCCTGTCCCCTTAAGGCCCCTGATGCTGGATGAAGGGACTGGGACGAACCCTGGCGTCAAAGTCAGCAGGCCCCTGGCCAAGCTTCCCTTGCAGGACTCCTACTTTATCCAGTCAGTAAGTGTCATGCTCATTCCTTACCCCCTGCTGAATAATTCATGCAGGGAATATTGCATCCCAAGAAGAAAAAAAAGGAGGGCAGGGGCTATCTCATCAAACTGAGAACTCCCCCAAGGAGCCCAGGATGCTCCACCAGCAAGGTTGTTTCCCCATCAGATCTGGGTCCCTTTCTTCTGTTTTCCTCGGGCTCAGTGAGGGGAGCTGGGCCTGGTACTGTGTTTACAGCCTTCCACAGAGCCATCCTCCTGCCAAAACAGCCCCAGAGGACTGAAAGGACCCATCATCTCTGATGTCTCTGAAGCCTCCCCTTCCCCTGAAGGAATCATGTCACCGTCCTCCAGCACTGGGAGGTAAGAGGGGAATCGGGAGGAAGCCAGAAACAGGGGATTCTGGGATTGCCGAGGTGGGTGGGAGAGCACTGGGCTGCAGTGGAAGCTCTTCTTCGGTGCAGGGAGAAGGGCCTAGTGTTGCTCAAGGAAGAGCCGGCCAGCCCCGGGGGGAAAGGCACAGCTGGTCCAGGCATTGCTCCAAACGACTATGACTTCTACGTGACAGCGCCACCCGTGCTCCCTGTGGCTGTGGTGCAATCCATCCTGGAAGGCAAGGGGAGCTGCAGCCCCGAGGGGCACAAAAGTATCCAGCAGCCAGAGAGAAGGGGCCCAAGGGGGCCTGCAGACAGGTGAGGGGAGCTTCAGAGCAGCAGAGGCCCTTGGGGGCTTGCAGCCAAGGTCAGCATTGAGTAGTCCACGATGAGCTTGTGAATTTCTGGTCTTGACAAACACATAGAAAGAGAATATTCCACCTCTTAGAGTCTCCTACTCAGTCGTGCCAAAATGCTACATGTTGGCGAGGAAGGACTTCCTCTGTTCCCCTCTCCTCCACCTTTCTACTTTCTGATGCGTCTCCTAATATCAGGAGAGGATCTCATGCCCTTATTCTAAGAATGAACCTTCTGCTTGAACCCTCTCCCATGAGGGGGATTTACATTTAAGCCCCAGCCCCTGCTGTAAGTACTACAGATAAGCCTCTGGACTTCCTTAGTTCAGTAGGGTGAAGGGCAGTATAAATAGAGTTTGTGCATGTATGCATTCCTTCATTCAATGAACCTCAATTAAGTGCCTACTATGTGCAGCAGGTGGAGGTGGCACCAGAGTTTCTGAGTTGGCTCTTGAAGGAAGGACTTGAAGGAGATGAGGGCGAAGGGTGGCTATTCTAATGAACCCAGAAGGAGCCAGGCACACAGGGCAGGATGAGGAGGCTCTTCCTCTTGCTCACCTGCCATGAGGCTGCCTGCCATTTTTTGACTGCTAGCAGGGAGAGGAAGGAGACCAGGAGTCAAGTGAAGCCCGTTTGTGTTTGTAGTGTGACCTTAGGGAATCCATTTCTCTCCTCTGGGCTTCAATCTCTTTTCTGCAGTGAAGGGACTGGAGTAGATAGATTTCCAAGATCCTTCTCAGCTCTGAACAATCTCCAGGACTCTCCTAGCTGCCCGATGTTCATTTTGACTTGATCAAAATGGGGTGAGGGGTGGGGTAAGGTAGTGCGATTTGTTCCTGGACCTCCCCCTCCCCCACGGAAAAGCTTTCCTAAAGGAGTTCTGTGGAGGGAGAGGAAGGTAGGGAGTATGGCTGAGCCAGGGTCCTTGGTCCCCACAGGGAGCTGGGGGAGCCCCTAGATGTTGCAGACCTGAGCCTAGAGAGTTTACAGCTGTTGCTTCGGGGCCAGCCTGGCTGCTTAGAGCCCGAGGGGGGCCTGGAGGTGAGTATCCACACCGACCCAGCCCAGGGATGGTGCTACTGCCTTCTTGGGTCCTCCCTTCCCTTTCTTCGTGGGGGGTGGGGGTGGGGGTGGAAGAGCTCAGCATTTGGCGTCAAAATACATAGATAGGAATTCGAGCTCTACCATCAACTACCTCTGGGCCAAGGTGCTTTCCAGCTCTGAGCCTCAGTTTCCTCTTCTGTAAAATTGAAGGGCTTGGTCTAACTGATCTCACAAGTCTCGTCTGGCTTTAAATTCTGTAATCCTCAGATGTTCAGCCCGGGCCTCCCAGGGAGCGAGTGGAGCCTGCTAGATATGGATGTGGGGCTGTCCCTGGTAAGGAGGGGGAGTGGAAGGAACCCGGGAGGGCATCACTGGGAGAATGCTAAGGGTGGGGTCTCTGCCCCGTGCCCAAGCCAGTGCAGTTCCCCACCCCACCCCAAACCTCCCCTTCTTTCGGATCCTGTAGAAGACCCCTTGCACTCCACCTCAGGCCAGCCCATCCAAGGGCAGAATTCCTAAATCAAGGTCACTCTCAAATTGACCTTCTTTCGTCGAACCTCAACTCTGCCATAGAGCTTCGGTGTGTCCCCCCGCCCTGTTCCCCAGCTCCAGCTTCCCACTAGTTTTCCAAAGGAAGCTCAGTGCTTTCCTCCCCATCCTCTTCTGTCTCTGTGCTCGGAATTTTCACATCCAGATGCAGCAACTCCCCAAGGATATGGAGAAGAGTGAGACTGAGCTAGTATCCAAAGGGTTGAATCCCCCGGGCTCAGGTAGCTATTGTGTAACGTGAGATCGAGTTCCGGTGGGTGTTTAGGGTGGGCGTGGGGAAGCTGGGGAAAGTCTCGGGGCAAGTTGTGAAGAGTTATTCCGAATCAGCCCCTCCACTTTCCAGTGGAAGCATCAGGGTGGAATTTGAGGGAGAGGAAGGCAGACCTGGGATATTGGCGTGAAGGAAAGCACTCGGGGTGGGGCCAGGAACGTTGAGGTTTGAGATCTGGGCCTGACTGACCCCCAACATCCCAGAGGGGATTAGGGTTAGAAGACTGTTAGAAAGAATGGGGAGCGGCAGTGTCTGGGTTGAGAAGAAAGGGGAAAGAGGAGGGCACGGGCAGGAGGTTAGAGAACAAGGGAGGAGACCTGGGGTGGGGCCACCCGCAGCGCGAGAAGGAATGTTTCCTTCTTGGGTGTTTGCATCTTGGGACAGCGGGTCCTCCCAGGAAGGCCCCGGTAGAGGAAGTTTGCTGTCCCAGGTGGGTACTGAAAGCCCCAATTCTTTACCGTCTACCCCTCTCTCCCACTCCTCTGTCCTTCCAGGAAAAGAGCCGGCAGCCTCCAGGACCCCCCAAACGTTCCCGATGGAAGACCCCTCGAACTTCGGAGCTCCGGCGCTCGGGGTCCCCGGTGCCTTAGCCCTTTATGACCCCTCGCAGACACTGGCCCAGAATGGGACTCGAACCTCCTACCTGAGCCCGGGGGCTAGCCCCGACCCGTGAGGGGAGGAAGCAGAGGGCAGGGCCAATCAGAGCGGGCCGGAGGGATTCGGCGCCCCTCCCCGTTCTGGGCCGCTTGGTTCGGATTCCAGCCCACCCACCCCTCCTTCTCCTACCCTCACCCCCTCCTTCTCCCACCCTCACCCCCCCCCCCGCATCCCCACCCCAGGAGTTTCAAGGCCCCGGGCACGAGTAAGTGAGTGCGCCAGGCAGTGAATTGGATACGTAGCGCCCCAGAGTGCGCTGAGCGCCCCTGGCGGGAGACAGCCCCTTCCCAGAAGCTCAGAGCTCCGCCTCTCCGCCGGCCGGTGCGGCGGGGCCAGAGGGCGGGGGCCCGGGCCGGATTTCATTGGCTCTGGGGTCCACCTCCACCCCATCCCCCACGTGGTCCCCCCTCCCCCCCACAGCGCCCCACCCATGCCCCGCCCTTCCCTGCACTTCGGTGCGGGTTACAAATAAAAATATTGCAGTTTCTTTCCAGCACTCGCACCCTCTACCTCCAGGGCTACCTGTGGCCGAGCCGCCGCCCAGGCTCCGGATCCGGGCTGGATTTGTTTGGCTCTGAGTCTCCAGCCCCACCCTCACTCACTCTGAGCCCCTTAGGGCTCAGATACTCAAAAGGGATTGTGATCTCATCGATTTGGAAGGTCCCACTAAAGATGGCGATTTCAACCCATCCATGCTTGCCCATGCTGTGCGACTCGTTCTGTGACACCATTACAAAGTGTTTTCCCCACAACAACTTTGGGAGGCAGGTAGAGTGAGTCATAGCATCCCTGTTTTACCGATTAAAGAAACCGAGACTTGGGAGAGTATTATGATTAATAACAAAAACAACAACAAAAGATCTTTATAGGCTTGGAGTCAGAAGTTCTGAGACTAGCTGTGTGACCCTGGGCAAATCATTTAACCTCTTTCGGCCTCATTTTCCTCAACTGTAAAATGGGAATAAAAATAACGCCTACTTTCTAGGGTTGTGAGAATGAAATATGTTTGTAATACTCTTTGCAGACTTTAAAAACTGCTGCAGAAGTGCTAGCTGTTATCAATTATTATCACATTTTCTGGTTTGGAAAAAGGAGATTTTTGAGGATGGAAGGAAAGTAGGAAGCCCTTAGATCAAAGTGGGACTCAGAGTGACTCAGAATTCTTCTTTAAAAACATAACAAAATGTATTTAAAAATCTATTTTATATAAAATATAATTTTATCATATAATATATAATATTTGAAATATAATTTTTATATTTTTCAATCAGCCAAAATCCGGCTTCTCTTCCCCCACTCCCTTTGCTTCCAAATTGAGAAAGAAAAACAAAAACTATGTTGCAAACATAAATGGGCAATCGAAACAAATTTCAAAACCAAATTGGCCATGTCAAAAAAAATGTTTCATTCTACATTCTGAGTCTTTTAACCTCTCTAATCAGCATGTTTTCTCCTAAGTCTTCTGGAATCTTGGTTTGTCATAATGGTGATCAAAGTTCCTAAGTCTTTCAAAATTGTTTGACTGTACAATATTACAGTCTTCCTACAAATTGTCCTCTTGGTTCTGCTTACTTCACTCTGCATCAGGTCATAGAAGTCTTCTCAGATTTCTCTGAAATCTTCCCCTTCATTATTTCTTATGGCATAACATATTCCATCACATTTATATACCATGACTTGTTCAGCCATTCCCAAATTGATGGGCATAACTCCCCACCAGTTTCCAATTCTTTGCTACCACAAAAAGATCTATCAATATTTTTATCCATACTTACAGTTTGTTTTGCTTAGGACTAAACCCTTCCTTCATCTACCCTTCCTCTAACTCTCCCTTCTCCATTCCTCCCCCTCCCCCATTTCCCTGTTGAGTGAAAGTTACTTCTAAATCCAGGTGTGTGTGTGTGTGTGTGTGTGTGTGTGTGTGTGTGTGTGTGTGTTCTTCCCTTCTTTGCCCAGTTCAGATGAGCATGAAGTTCAAGTGTTAATCCTTCCACCACTTCTCCCTTATTTATAGAGATTTCTACTTGTGCACTCCAATTATGTGAGATTTTCTTTTAACTTTCCTTTCCCTTCTTATTCCTCTCCCCCTCCCTTTCCATTCTTCTTTTAAAATCACTCAGATATAACAGAAACACTCCTCTATCTAATTAGAACCCTTTTGTAACCCCTAATGATCCGGTTCAGAGGGGACATGAGTATCATCTCTCCATTATTAGAATGTAAGCTGTTTATCCATGTTTAGTTGCATCTGATTGTTCAATCATGTTTAACTTTTTATGTTGCTCCTGATTTGCATTTTGGGACTTCACAGTTTCTCTGCAACTCTGGTATTTTTTTTTTTAGGAATGTTTGGAAGTCCTCCTTTTCATTGAAGTTTCATTTTTTCCACTGTAGGATTATATTCAGTTTTGCTACTTAAAGTATTCTTGGTTGTAAGCCTATATCCTTTGCCTTCTGGTATTTTGTGTTCCAAGCTCTCTGCTCCTTCGTGGTGGTGACTGTCAAATAATATATGATCCTTACTATGACTCCTTTGTACCTGAATTCCTTTTTTCTGGCTGCTGCAGTATCTTTTTCTTTGACCTGGACATGCTTGATTTTGGCCATAATGTTTCTGAGAATTTTTATTTTGGAGTTTCAGTAGGTGACTACGGTTTTGTTTTGTTTTGTTTTGCTTTTTCTGTTTCCATTTTGCTTTCTGGTTCTAAGGGGTCAGGGAAGTTTTCTCTTATGATTTCTTGAAATATGATGTGTAGACTTTTTTCAGGTATTGACTTTGAGGTAGTTCAGTGATCCTTAAATTTTCCCTTCTTGATCTGTTTTCCAGGTGAGTGGTTTTTGCTTTGAGACACCTTACATTTTCTTCTATTTTTTCAGTCTTTTGACTTTGTTTTACTATTTCTTGTTGCTTCTTGAAGTCATTAGCTTCTATTAGGTCCATTCTGATTTTCATGGAGTTTGTTGGTTGGGCAAGGTTTTGTACCTCTTATACCAAGCTGGTGATTCCTGTTCTAATTTTTTTCTTCCATGGATCTCATTTCTTTTCCAATTTTTTTTCTTAAAACTTTTTTTAAACTTAAAAAAATCCTCTTACTTCATTTCTTCCAGGAATTCTAGTTGAATTTGTGCCCAAGCTATGTATTTCCTTCAGGCTTTGCCTGTGGATGTTTTGGAGTACTTTCTCCTTCTGGGTATGTGTCTTGAGTGTCCCTATCATCATAATACTTTTTTTTTTAATGGTAGGATTCCTTTTTTTGTTTGGAGGATGTGGGTTTGGAGGAGGTTGTTTTTTGGCAGGAGCTCACTGTATCTCTTCATGCTATTGCACCATATTGGCTCTGTCTCCTCGTCAGCTCTCTTCTTCATTCTGTGCCACTTGGTTCAGCTTTCAAACCCCTTCCCCCACAATTGAAGGGCCCACTTTACCTAAATGATCTCATTTAATTTTTCCAACAATCCTGTGAGATAAAATGAAAATATTATCATCTTCATTTTACAGATGAGGAAATTGAAAGTAGGGAGGTTATAATGGTTAAACTCAAGGTCACACAGGTAGTGAATGTCTGAGCTGAGACTCAAATCGAAGTCTCCTGAAAGGTTTGAGGCAATTTCCAATATGCTAAGCTATTGTTCCTACCTCTTAGAATTTCTGAGCTAGGAGATCCCTTAGAGATCAATTAGTCTAACATTCTTATTTTTTAGTTAGTGAAACTGAGGCACACAGAGAGAGAGTGGCTTGCCCAAGGACAAGACTCAATGTCTGCTGACTTTAAATCTAGTGCTATTTCTTGCTGTTTAATTATTTTTTCTTTAAAAAAAATGAACTTAAACATTCCAGTGCTTTTTCTGCTTTGCCGTACTGTTTCAAAGAGAGGACAATGGGGGTGTTTTGTATTCTGACCTTGGTGCAAGGTGTAAAAAGTTGTGGGAGGCTTTTTTGGGGGGAAAAGGATAGTTGGGCTTGTTCTCCCCTGCTCTGTTTAAAAATGGTATCTCCTTGCCCTGGTGAGACTTTCCAAAGCCTCTAGCCCAGTTTTTTTTTAAATTTGTTCAGTTGTGTCCAACTCTTCTCAACCCCACTGGAGTTTTCTTGGCAAAGATACTGGAGTGGCTTGCCATTTCCTTCTCCTGCTCATTTTACAGATGAGGAAACTGAGGCAAACAGATTAAGTGACTTGCCCAGGGTCACACAGCAATGTCTGAAGCTGGATGTCAGAGTTCAAACTCAGGAAGATGAGTCTTCCTGACTCTAGGCCTGGCAAGCTATCTATTAGGCACTACCTAGTTACCCTCCAGCCCAGACACACTGATTGCCACCCTTCTCCCTTAGGAGCTCACTGAGGCCAGAAGCTGGCCAGCATTGACAAAGAAAAGTGTAGATATTTTTCTTCCCCCTGTAGTTCTCTTTTCTCCCTCTCCACATCTCCCAAAGTCTATTGTACTTCCTCATATATCTTCTTGCGTCCTATCAAAGAAAAAATAATACTGTATTCTGTGTTTTAGGCACAAGTCTACCAGAAACATTTAATTTAATATTAATCTAATATCCAAGAATTTCTAGCTTGTCAAGAGAGATGCCCTAATTGTCATAGTCCCTCATGCCCTCCAACATTAGGGTCCCCAAAACAATTGTCTAACACTTATAGGAATCTTTAATAAGGAAAAGATCATTATACGTTAAAATGTGGTTTGAGGTTAACATTCCAGAGTAATTGAGTAAGGAAGACACCATCCCATTCCTCTCTGGACTTCTCCCTTTGAGGAATCAAAGGG